CAGACTAATTCTGCTGCGCATTGGCACATCATGACGAAAGCCATGCTAATGCTCGGTAGAATTTGTTTACTGCACATTAGCATCACATAAAAGACATGCACTGGCACTACTGTGCAGTAGTGCTGATTATGGCACATTGTTAGTACCTGCTATTACAGGTACTAAATTTAATGCACTGTATTACAGCCCATTAATGCATGTGTAGATGAGCCCACTGAGTGCACCAGGGCTTCATGTGAAAAAGGCCTGTAGAATCAAGACTTCTTTTTTTTCCACATCCAAATTTTGCAGGCCTGGGATTTGGATGTGGGTTGACTTCAGTCAGTTTTTGTGTAAATGAACCTTTTCTGGAGTGAAGCAAGAGGATAACATGAGGAGTGCTTGAAAATATATATTGTACAACTCAGGTCACTATAGGAACAAAGAATGGGATTTTTTCTCTTGTACTTCAAGGCTACCATTCCTAAGAAAAATACAAGTCTCATGTTAGACTCCTAACTCCTTGTTGAGGCCCCACACAGAAATGGCCTTGTTTCCAGCCATTTCCATTTACTCTGCAATACTTAAGAGCTTCACTGACTTGGGCCCTATACAGAAAGATTTAATATGTGGAAGCAGCCAGCTTTTAAAATATAAGAGCCACTCAGCATTTAGTACTGTGACTTCTGATGAGAGTCTATTAAATGTAAATTGAATTGCTGTCATGAAACAAGTCCAGTGTGTACTATTCAATCCATAACTAGGAAAGCAGTTTCCTGTTATTAAGATGAAGAACTCTGACAGCATAAATTTAGTATATAGGTAGGCTATAGCTAAGGATATCTCCAGAATATTTTATGGATGGACACCAGTGGTGAATTTTGTCTCTATGTCTAGTTACAAGTTCTAACCTCAGGAGTATTGCAGCAGCTGCTACAAAAATGTTTTTCACAGTTCATTCCCAAATGATGATGCAAATATAACTTTATTTAGCAGCTTCCTATAGTAAAAGTTACCTCTTGAATTCAAGTGAGTCCCTGTGTGGCAACTGCACAACCTGAAACCTTTTGGGTACAATCTTCCAGTTGCAAAATGAACTTTTTTTAATACACCTGTTTGGCTCTGCCATGGTAAGGTGCTAGTTCCAGAAAGGCATGTGGGGATGGTGTTGGGGGGGGGGGGGAAGAGATGTTCTTGTTAGATGGCAACACTGCATGAAGCATCAGAGGAGGAGGGACAGATTTCTGTGTGTTAACAATCTGTCACACTATTTTAAACCTGGGATGACACAGCACAGCCAAACCTTTAGTACTGTCTAATCAAATCCCTTCCGATATGGCTCCTCATTCAGACCAGTTTTACAGTCAACTGATTAACTGCCCAGCTGTTCCCACTATATGGTTACACAAAATAAACTAATGGATAACAAACAATACTCGGAATAGTAGAAGATATCAGATATTCAACAACCCTCATCTTAAAATGGCAAATGGCTGTGGAACTGCATTTACTTCTGGAGGTGGGTGAATCATGCAGAGTTTGGGTTTGATCCAGTAACTCACAGATGGACCATCTGTATAACCCAATTCCTGGGAGTCAATGAACTAGACAGAAAATTTCAGAACTGCTTTTTCTTCAGGGTACGGCTACATACAGAGCTACAGAGGTATCTCTGTATGACAGTGCAGTGCCATACAGAGATACCTGATCTAGCACTAAACTATTTCATTTGGATACTGGAAACAGGGTAAATTAGCCTAGCTAGCACTCCATATCTTTATGGCTATATACCTCCTGGTACATGAGCAGCTTATGGGGCTCTCCACAGGATGGGATGGCTTGGATTACATAAACCTGTAAGTCCCTTCCTACCCTCCACTGCGTGATGCACTGTGCTACGCAGCCTAGCCCTCACAAAAGCACTGGGTACTTTCCCGTCTAATCAGAATCATTTGGCTAGGTTACATTTGGACCCAGATAAGAGCACAGGCTTTGTTTCTGTCCCTCTGCTCCACCTCGGCATGCCAGGCCCCTGTATAGTTTGGTGCTGGAACTAGACCTGCTCACTGTGCCAAGGTATTAGACATGCCCCCTCCTCTGCTGCCTGCCGAGCCTGATCCTGCCCATGTTCTCAGCTCGCATGCTAGATCCCACCCTGCACCAAGCACATGGGGAGGAAATGGAGGTGGCAGCACTCCTATGCTTTTCTTTGCTAGCCCAGGAGTAAAAGCATATACTCAAGATATAGGCAGTTCCTCTTTTGCCTAAGGGGGTTTGAATCTGAAGCTCCTGGCTTCCAGAGGAGTACGCTGACCCCAGAGGGTATTCTGGGCTGTGGACTCTCTCTCTCTCTCCTGTGGAAGCAGTTCAATTTTGCATGTAATAAGTAATCATTGGGCCAGGAAAGAGAAAGCCCATAGACCCATGGTCTCGGGGGGGGGAGGCTCTACACATTCATTAATGTGCCATAATTACAGTGCATTAAGTTAGTACCTGCATTAAGTGTTATGCCAAGGTGCTTAACTGTTATTACTGGTACTAAATTAATGTAATAACAGATACTAACTTAATGTGCCATAATTGGCACTCCAGCACAGTAGCACCAGTGCACAGGTTTTTTTGTGATGTTAAAGCGCAGTAGACTAATTCTACTGAGCATTAGCAAATTAGTACAGTTTTTGCCTGCTGCGCTTATGCGCAGTAGCATTAGTCTCCTCTGCATTTAGCATCTCATATAGACATGACCCAGATGTCCAAAACCAGTAGACAGTTTTTCCTCCCTGCTCAGCTAATTGGTTGCATATTTGTATTTCCTGTCAAGATTCTCTGCCATAGACTTTTGGTTACACATTGAAATTCCTGGAGAAAGAATGGAAAAGCAGTATAAAATCTTTTTTTGCTGGTGGATAACTGTCTTCATCAATGTGCTTCTGATATTAATTTAGCGGAGATACTGGAGCTGTGTGTCATACAGTGAATCTAGCACAATCAGCCTAAAGCAGCTGCCTTGGATTAATAAATGGTGTGCAATTCCCAGGGTCTCTATCAAACACTATGGAATAGCATGGTGCTGCTTTTTCATGTATTAAGTTAACTACTGGGACTCCCTGATCCTCCTCAGAAGCAACTGAGTATCAAATCCAGATTTCAGTCATTTTCTTTGGCACTCTCCTGTTCTGTTCCCTGAGCAATGTATGGGGGTACTTTCTATTAGGCTACTATGCTTTCTACTAGGCTACTTTTCTGGGGAAAGTCTCTTAGACTCAGGAACAAGGACTGAAAAAACTAGCATGCAGCAATGCGCACCAAACCAATGAAACCATTACACATTGGTCTCTTTTACATATGAATATTTATTTTTTTCCCCTTCTTAAAAATGTACAAAAAAAATAAAATAACTGTATTTACAGTTTATCAATCCCCTCTCCCAGTACAACACTATTAAGTCACATGAGCTATTTGCTTAATATAAAAGCATGCTATTTATACATAAAGCTTCCTTGATTGCCAGAGAGAGTGGCTGTCATGAAATTTGGCACAAACACTCGTTTGTATCTTGTTACAATTTCTATGAGATAGGGAAGGGAAGAAACACATTATAGGCTTTGCATTTTAAAAGTCATTGGACTGTTCAATTCCAGCTCCACATCAGTGTACATGCTGCATCCATGGCAGCCATGCAGCTCTGTTCTTATTGCTACAACTGAATCCATTGGGTTGAATGAATTTACAATGTTTAAACAATCCAGATTTCAAAAGGGAAGTCAACAGTATAGATGCATGGAAAACAGTTTCATTGATAAAGCCAGTCTATGTGCAAGAAAAAAGGGAGGATGTGGGAGGAGAAAGAGAGAGAGAGAGGAAGAAAAAAAATCCATTTTTTTTACTTCGTGTTTGATACCTAGTGGCAAAATTCTCTAAACCCCACTTTATAATTATTGCTGTTCTTGATGAGGATTTCTGTTCCCAACCATCCACCACATACTTTAAAGCAGTGGTACAATTCAATGGATTTTCTTTGAGGTAAAGGCTTCTAAAATATGTTGGAGAAGGATTTACCTTGAGCATTCATAATGTGATGTTCTTAATTAGGTTTTATATGGATGGACATATAGACAGATCCATGCCACAAATCATTATCAATGCAAAAACTATGATTTTTTTATTTTGTTTTACCCCTTTGCTGTCGTGGAACAGCACCCATGCACAGTCCTGCTGGAGTGCTTAAAAAATAATGCAACAGCTGACAACACTAAGCTGCTGGGAGTCTTCCTAAGTGCAAAGAGCTGCTCTTATTAATATTCAGGACTTGGTCCTGAATGAAAAAAAGTAAAGGAGAATTTTTGTTCTTTTAAAGAATCTATCACAAAATTGTCAAAAAAAATACAGGCAAGGTAACAGATATTTTTGGTCCCCCACTGTACCACTGCCAAAATTCACTCCAATTTAGATTAGAATTTTTGTTAAGTACATGGCTGATCATTCCATCATAGAATCATAAAAAATTAGGGTTGGAAGGGACCTCAGGAGGTCATCTAGTCCAACCCCCCGCTCAAAGCAGGACCAGCCCCAACTAGATCATCCCAGCCAAAGCTTTGCCTTCCTTGTATTTGCCCTCCAACAACAGATGCTATACCTAAAAACATAAAGCAATGCAACAAAGGGCACATGTAGGCGAAACGAGGGGCATGTGTGCACAACACTTTGAAGTAGGTTAAATGCTTTTGCACCACTTTAATGGTGTTGATGTTTGCACGTGTCAGCAGCATATTGTGCATTAATTCCAGCTGCTGTAGCACATTCAGTGGCGTAATGCACTTTAAATGACTTGGGGGCAAAGCAAACTAAAACACCTCCAAGGAGTTTTAGCTTGCTGCCCTATAGCAGTGGAGTGAAGCATCAGACTCCATGTGGCTTCAGGACCGTGCAGGCAGCCTGGCAACAGACTGGGAAGGCAGGCTCCACCAAAGAAAAAAAAAGCAAAGCAGTGAGCCTGATTCCCTCCACCCCACCCCCTGAGCCTTCCTCCCTGCATGAGCTGCACAGAGACCCAGTCCTTCCCTCCACAGAAGCGGTGCCTCTGGTGACTGCCCGAGCCGGATGACTGCAGGCGGGTGCCACCTAGACTGGGGTGCCGCTGCTGCAGAGGGAAGCACCACCTCCCTCCCCACAGCACAGGGACTGCTCCACCCACAGGCAAGACATAGGTGTACATGACATGGGGGTTTACTTCGCCCTAAATTGAAGCGGTGCTTTTAAAAACCCACCACTCCAATTTAGGGCCCCCATTTCATCTACACGTGCCCAAACTGTGCAGTTGGCATTGCTTTAAGTGCTTGCAATGTCGCACTCTCGAAGAGGGAAAATAGAGCCCGCTGACCTTCAAGTCCTGACAGATAAGTCAAAAATGCCTCAATATTAGTTGGATTAAAAATCTCTCTTTATGTCAGGCTAAATCCTGCTTGCTCTACTCATCCCAGCAGCCTCTCTAGCTTCACTGAGACTGAGTGAGACTAAAGCCAGCAGAGTTTGGCTCTTCAGTCACTGACATGGGATCTTATGCAGTTTCTTTAACTAAAGTCCTAAAAGGAAGATTAGAATGACGTGATGCCTCACACCTCCTGATATTTCCTGAAACACTGCAGTCATTCACTCCTCACCAGCATGCCAGGGTGCTTAAGTACAAAGGATCTCCCACAAGACATTAATTTCAGGACAGCTAAAGCAGGAGAGAAGAAAGAGACAAATGAAGAGAATACCAAGTCTAATATGAACCTGATCCTTGCGGCTGCATGTGCTGGCTTGTCAGGGCCTGCCATTATTTATGACAACCATGTGGTGAATCTAGAATCCATATCAGCATCTTCTAGTTCAGTGCAATGCAAAACAATTCAGCATCAAAAGGCACAGATGGTCAAGAGTGACAGCAGAGCCTGAATGATGCAAACAAGGGATGGGATCAGGGATTGTGTGCTTGTTTACATATACCCAGGTGCTTAATTTGAAACACGCACATTTCCCATTGGGTCATGGGACCTGATTGAAAGACTCCAATGAAAGGCTTTAGAATTCCATACAAACGCCTCTTACTTCTTTCATTCACAAAAGAAAAAAACCTACTAGGACCAACCACACTGCTCAGGCCTCTGTACTATGTCCGAATCCACATACCACAGGCCAGAATTTTCTTCTTTTTTTCTTTTTCAACTGTCATGGAAATGAAGGCCATGCCTAACTAAGCATAGGCCCTTGTTTCAAACACAAACCTAACAACTGATTTCAGTTCAAACACCAGGAGATTCTGATCCTTTTACTATGTCCACTCTTGACTGTAGTCAACATAGGCTGAGCCTTGAGAGACTGTGTGTATTAGGAAAAAGACAAAAACATGACTGCAACACAGTTTCACAGAGACAGAGTTACAAAGAGGCAGTGATGGCATGGGCAAGAAAGAAATTAAAAACAGAAGACCAGGACTGGGGCCAGAAAAGCAGACAAGTCAACTCTGAAAACACTACATCCGAGTCTCCTGGCCTAAACAATTAGGCTTTACTGCTTATGTGAGTGCTTAACTTCCCTACCACAGAGTGCTGGTTTCATTGGCGCTACTCAAACTCAACCAGTCCGAAGGCATTTGTTGGCTTGTTTCTCAAGTCACGTTCATCCATGCAAAGCAAGTGCGAAATCCTCCCCAGTCAGAATGGCAGCATTTTACACTGATCACTATGCACGGACAGAAATGACCAAGCAAAGTTCAAAACAGTGGAGCATCAGGCTCCATTAATTTTGGCAAGACATCTTGAGGTGCTTGTTCCAATGACATGAGTGAAAACAACAAATACTGTGCCATAATGGAAAGAAAGATGGCAGAGAAAAAAAATAAGGAAAACTAAAAGGACTAGATTCACAAAGGGACTTGTGTACCTTTCTGCCTCAGGAGCCACAGGCCTAGGTTAGGTGTCACCACAGTAGATACAATTCATGCTTGGGTAGTGTGGTTGGTCTGATAATCCCATGCTTCAGCACTTTTGCTGGTTACCTGTAGGGACTTTGAAGGTATCCTTTGTCCCTTATCAATGATATTGGCTTCTGGGGTGGGAATTTGCCTTCCTTTGAAGCATTGGAGTTTCGGCCACAACTGATGCTGGGGTTTTGGATTCAAGTGTACCAATTCTCCTGTCACTACTTCAAAAACTCAGAGGGTCTTCCTATTCTCGTGGTCCCTCCAACTGCCAAATGTAAGATCAGAAAGAAATTTTCCTCCTAGGTCAAATTGGCTTGGACTTGGAGGTGGGAGAAAGAGGAAGTGAGGGGCTTCCTTCCTCTGTATCATGGGACATGGTCATCTTCATAGGATCAGCTGACTATCTATTAACCAATCACTTTCCTGTGGCAGTGTACAAACTGCATCCTTGTCTCGCCTGCTTTTACTGATGGCATAATGTAGGGTGTTCCTGGCATTCTGTAGGGTGTTCCTTATTGTTGTATATGTGATCATTTGAAGTGGTCACTGGGATTTGAAATGATCACTTTGGGAAATCCTTGGGTTGCCTGTGAACACAGGGAATTAGACTTGATAGCTTGGGAGGCCCTCTCCAGTCCTATGGTCCTAATTAGATGGCTAAGAATGGGAACCACAGCAGTCAATACACCATAAAGAAAGCCACTTAGGTTTGTTTCTAGGAAAAGATTTGTAATTTAGCCCCACAAACTTAGCAGGGCTTAGCTCCATTCCTCAAAGAGAGCTGGGCATTTAACTCAAGGGCATTTCCCTCCACACAGAATCCACAACCATAAACCCTCTCCAGCAGTCATCTGCCTAGCTCAGTCCCTTTTCACAAAACCTAAAAGGCATTGCCCCTTTCACACATTTTACCTAATAACCTTACCATTTAGAGCACTTGTCCACAATTGTGAGAGACTAGGGCTCAAATCCCTCCTTGGCTTGATGGGACAGGGATTGGAACTTGGGTCTCCTTCTCTGCCCCTCCCCTGCCCTAGCAATTAGTTTCTCTCTCTCTGACCAAATCAAGATTTAATTATTCTATGCGAAGTGGAAGAGTGGCCCTCAGGCCTAACAGGTGGGGCAGTGATTCTCAACTAGAGTGGGGTTCTGGGAGCTCTTTTGAAGGGTGCCCCTAGGTACAAGTAGACAAACATGTGTGAGAAGGTTAAGTGCAGGCTCAGGCTCTTCGCTGCCTGGCTGCTGCCCTGTCCCCACTGTCCAACCTCTCTGCAAGGAGGTAAGTACTGTAATAAATAAGTTAATTAATTAATAAATTCGTTTTTGAAATGGGGTGCTGCTCAATTCACAAAAGTTAAGGGGTGAGTCAAGCAAGGGGTGCCTCGAGTCTATAAAAAGGTTAAGAACCACTGGGTTAGATGAGATCAAGTCCTTTTCAGACGAGAAAAGGTACGACTCCAGAGCCCCTCCACCCTCCGAAGATCCAAGTGAATGCTCTAACCGCTAGGTTACAGGACAAATTGCTCCTCTTCCTCTGTCCATTTTGCAAATGTCTATTAGATCAGGTGCTATAGATTGTGCCTAATTTCAGAGTCCCAACAGTGCTTAGGTGTGAGCTAGGCACTGCTGTCAGATTTAGGCATACCCAAAAGCAGACATTTGAAGTGCCTCTTGTGTCAGGCTGCAACTGGGCAGGGTTTTTAAGGATCTAAATGTTGTACTCAGATACTTAGAGAGGCAAGCAGGTGCCTAAATCCTTCTGTGGATCTAGCCCAAACAGAATGGACACACAATTGTGGTATATGCCATTTTTAAAGGCAATTGGCTAAATTTTTCCAGTAGATTAATTTGACCAACAGTTGTAAATACTCTGATACAAATATGGGATTTAACCCATAAGTACACCTGTGATTATCAACATGGCCTTTCTACTCAGCAGACTGCAGAAATCTAAACCTCTAAGAGAAGAGAGAATGTGTTAATCCCTAATCCCAATGCACACATAAAAAAGAAAGAAAAAACAGTGGCAGTAAACATGCCCACAGAGTAGGTAAAATATATTATTGCATATTATAAACATTATATACAAGGTTAAAATGGTTTATGTCCAGTTTACTTACAAATTACATTGTAGCTGAATGTCTTACTTACAAGTCCTTGTTGCTACGTGCTGAGAACTACCAGAGGTATTTGGCAAGACTATACACTGTAGGGCAATGTGGATCAGTCTGAACAGGGGAACTCTTGGCCCCTTTCCCCATCGTTAGCCCTATACTATTTAGGAGTATCCATTTTTCTTAGCTATTGCAGAGCAAGCTATTGTTAAAGCAGTTTCAACTGGATTTCCCAAGATGGACCAGTAAGATTCTTTTATCTAATCTGGGAGGATTTTAATCCACATTAATGTAGGGATTAAAAAGTTGCCATTTACCAGTGAGTCACCTGGTAATCAATCTGGGGACTAAAAAATGTTTGTACGTTGGAGTTGGGGAAGCAATAAATAAAGGACTAAGTTAATGCATATGGTCTTGTCCTTGACAAACTTAAATCAGTGTTTGTTGGGCACATTTTCAGTGTCAAAGAGCAGAAAGGATGATATTTTCAAAGTAGTCTTGTAACAGCTTCTCTGGTCAAGGTTGACAAGTCTGTAAGGTTCCTGGGGAAGTTTCTTCTGTTAAGCAAGGATGAAATGCTGTGGTTCCTCAGGAAAAATGCTCTGGCTCCGAGCTGAACTATATCTCGGTCAGTGTGATCTTGAAGCCTTCCACCATGCTCTCCATGTTCAGGATGAAAGTGTCCTCATTGGAGTAGTGCTCAATGATGTTATCATCCATGTTTACCAAGATACTGGTGACAAAGGGAGAAATCAGCATGCTTACAAAGAAAGCTGGTGAAAGGGAAGGTTCTGCACAACTGCCCAAAGCAATGCTGTCTGGCTATGCGTACTTCACTAATTCTGATTTACCTCAAATTGACACTTCCTGGGGTCTTTGAAGGGCACACAGAGATCTCTTTCAGAGATCAGTGGGTGAAATCTGGATGGCATTTTCTACATCCTACAACAAAGCAGAATGCCCACCAGCCAGCGACTACATCAGTTGGAATGGGGAACAGATTTGGCTAGCCTCTATATCATTGCTTATGGCCTCTGTACCAATGGAAGCTGCCAGAGCAAGAACACCTGTACTATTCATATACTAGGCATGAAAAAGAGACCTGCCAGAGTGAGAACTTATGTGCAGTTTATAAAGTGCAGTCAGAATTTCTGCACTGCAGAGCACTCCTGAAGCTATCACATACTCCCTAGCCCAGGTAGCTGATATCTGCCTGCATGAGTCTTCATGCTGTTCCTCAACCCTGGTTTATTACTATTACTGCATATAAACACACGAAGGCAAGTGTGGCTTTATGTGCAAATTGCTGATAGTTTGCAAGTGATGTATTGGGGTAGTTTAGGCTTTTACTTAAGCCCAGCTAATATGCATAAAAGTCAGCGTGTATATGAGACTAATAGAAAACAAGAGCTTGTTTCATTCTTTTTTCTACAAATAGCTTCTCCCAAGAACACACTACTTAAAAGCAGTGTTAGGAACAAGGAGGAGGTTAAAATATTCAGCTTCCCTTTTAAAAACTAAAGAAAATCTGAGACAAAACACTGTTTTAAGCTGGAGTTTAGGGCTGTCAATAGAGGAAAACCAAGTTAAAAGGACATTCCTAAAATGTGGTAGTCATTTAAAAAGTAAATGTGAGAAAATAAGGAAACTGTGGCTTGAGGGTGAAGTGGCGAAAGTGATAGGCTATTTGTTCTAAAACTTTTGGATCTCATAAAATGTCTAAATTTACTCAGTTAAAGTTCAACTAAGGAATGCAACTCTGCCTCATCCTTCAACTACCACCACTCTATCAAACTTCCAACTATTCACTCATTCCTTCTGCAATTCCATATGCTGCCAAGTAAACTGGGTTCACCCACAAGTCAAAGGCTGGACACCACATGGGCCAATATATCAAAATTAATACCTGAGGCCCTGGTGCACATTCATTTTATTATGCAATGGGATCTGATCCCAGATCCCAACAATTTGGGATCAGGGATCAGATTCTAATCATGCCATTACTACTTGCCAGTGCAGGGGGAGGCCTAGGACCATAACCCTAGGCTCCCCCTGCACCAACAAATTGAAAGAAGAGTATCCACAGGTCTGACAATCAGCTGATTGCCAGCTCCTGCTGCAGGACCACACCAGGTTTCAAACCAGCCCAGGGCCAACAATCAGCTGATTAGCGGCTCCAGTCCCAGGACTGCACCAGGGACTCAAACTGACCTCAGTGTAGTCTGGGACTGGGACTGACAATCAGCCACAGCCCAGAGAGCCCTATGTCCAGTTCAAGAGCTGGGGCTGTCCAGGCTGGATCCAACAGTCAGCTGATTGTCAAAACTCCACACCCAGTATCTCTGGGCAGGCTGCCAGGCAGGAGGGATCAGAGGTTCCTGGTTCAAAAGTCATTGGGGACCTTAAATTCTGCCAGGAGCCTTTGATCCCTGGCTGCCCTCCCCACAAAGGAAGCCCTTCCACTTCTCCCCCTCCCTCTTCTGCCCACAGCCTGAGACCAGGACCAACAATCAGCTGATTGTCAGCCCCAGTCACAAGTTAAATTTAAGGGACCATACACAAACCAGCCAAAAAATGCTCTATATTATATGTGGAACATTTTCATGGCTTGTTTGCCATTTTATGGTGCCTTAAATGGGTGCACATGTAGCACTCTTGCCATTTATACTGCAACTGACATGTTAATTGCAGCATAAATGTAATATGTAGAGAAGACCTAACAGATACAGTCTACACAAAACTTCACTTGAACTCATCACCCCAGTACATTGGCCTGAAATAAGAGACTCCAGGCACAAACTAGAGATCACTTTTTCCCCATATACTCCCATCTTTGCCTTGCTTATAGAGATTGTAAGCTTTGGGGTTATGGATGGCTCTTACAAGGTGTTTTAGACAATCTAGAACAATAGTGACTGACCTTGGGTGATGTCTCTAGGGACACCAAATAAAAACAACTAATTAGTGTCTGCCTTTTTCTTACCCCTTTTTGCTCTTCTTGTAAAGTTTTGCAATCTTTTCTACTGGAAGTCCATATTTCTCAGATATCTGAAACCACACAATAAAAAGGAATTAAAAGTTAAATAAGGAATGGAGGTATCATTCTACACCTTTAGGATGTGATGCTAAAGCACTAATTAAAGTAGATCATTTTAGTAAAAATGTATACATTATTTACTGAGGACACTGCCAACTAATATGTGATCTAATTAGAGAGCTGCAATCTAAAGATGGATCATTCTAAATAAATAAGTTTTTGGTTTGCTTTATTTAATAAAAACTTTGCTCCAGCACCAATCAATGCATAGCTACCTTTTGGTATAACACACCAAACCAGCATGACAGTTCATCCTCCTGCTCTGCTCCAGCAGTTAACATTTCCCAATAGCTGTGCATATTTAGTAAGATAATGAATGCTATTTTCCACATGATCAAATGCAGTTTCTCCTCCTACAGAACAGAGAGGCTTTCTATACAGGAGCTGATAGTGAGGATGGCTCATCCTGGTCATCATCACTGTGGACTAGAGCCAGTTGAACAATGAAAACAATTGTGGCCAATTCCATTTTTCATTGGAATTTCACTTTTTTGGTTGAAACTTTTTGGCCACCTGTCCTCTGGCTTCAAACACCCCATCTTCCTGGGGAGATACATGATACCCCACAGCTGAGAAGGCTGCTGGAGCTGTGAGAAAATAGCAACAGCTGCAGAATAGTTTTGCTGCCTTGCAGAGCCTCTGTGCATCTCCCAAGACGCAGTCTAGTCTGGACGGTGTAATAAGACCACAGTTTGGGCCCCAAAGCACTCTCTCTGCAGAGCGGTAATGAGATGAGCTGCTTCAGAGAAGGCTGTTTACAAACTAAAGGCCTTTCAAAATCACTCTTGATACCTGTTCAAAGGGTGAACCAGAACATATAATTGAACTTTTGAAGACAGACTTATTAGTTGACTGGAATTTCTGAGGGCAAAAACACCCCATTGTAATACTTTTGGCAGCCCTTTGCAATAGGTGGTAGATCACTAGTTTTTGATGTTCATTATAGCAGTATAAACCACACTACAACAAGCCCATTTTAGTGTTCATGGAGATAGTGTCCTTCAGCATTCATCAATCTGGTCCCAAATTCATTTCAGAATTATGACTTTGTTCTTATGCTTTTTCTTTACTTTAAAAGAGGATTATATCAGATTGTTTCAAAAAGGAAAATAATTATGTCAAAGGGAGTTCTTTGTCACAGACTGTTCTAGGCAACAGGATACTGCACAGCATCAAAGCAAGTGGCTTGCCCTTTCCCAGGTGGAATTAAATTATGTTACCACTAAATAGCTCATTGTGTCTGCTGTGGTAGAAAAGTGAAAAGTAAAATTAAAAATCCATTTAAAGATGGTCAGACATCGGCCACTGCATAATCCTCTGCGTGTGTGTGCGCGCGCATGCTCAGCACTTTGAGAAAATGGACCGTTTTAGAAAGATAAATGAGAGTAATTTAAAGGAAATGGAGAAAGGGAAAAAAAAAAGAAGAATGTATGCTACACAAGCAACAAAGAAAGGCACCAACTGTAAAAAATGCTACTACAAAAATTTAGTATGGTTTCCTAATGACAAGGAAGGACCATGACTAGAAAGTCTTTACAGACATCTAATCCAACTGACTTCACTTAGGAAGCGCTTGGGCACTGTAGCAATGAATGTCACAAAAGAAATGTAGAACGGAATTTGGATAATAGTTATTATTCTAATACTATAAAAGCCTTAGTTAGTCAGTCCGCCTGTCTGTCTGTCCATAACGCTTTATTTGCACTCTCATTGGCTGACTGAAACAGCCAATCAGAGTGCTCCAAGAGCACTGGGACAGGAGATGGAATGGTGGAGTGTTGCCATGACAGCAGAGACATGGGATTGGGGGTGGGGGGGGCGAGGCCAGCTGTGCCAGGTGACAGAGAAGGGTGGAGAGATTGGGCTGGCCCTGAACCAGCAGGTGGGGAGAGCAGGCCCATTTCCACACTACTTCCCCCCTGACCAGAAGAGAAGTGGGGTCGGCCCCCACATGTGCCCACCTTATGATGGTGGCCTGGCCCCAAAGCAGCCCTGAGGTGGTAGTGATGGAGGGAACAGTGCGGGGGGAGGGGCAAGGCCAGTCACACTGGCCTTCCCCTCCCCACACCCGCCTGAGGCGGAAGGGGGCCAAGGGAGGAAAAATGGGCCTGGACCCAGCGTAGCAGGGAGGGGAAGGGGGGGCAGGGGGAACGGCGCCAGATGAGACGTCTAACCCTAAACCCTCTCCCCCCCCTAAGAATGGGACCAGCAGGGAGGGATTGGGAATAGAATGCAGGGGGGAAGGAGCCCCGTGGCCAGCTATCCTGGCTTTGCCCCCTCCCTCCCCTCCACCTGCCGCCAGCCCCTTGGACTCAGCAGTGACACAGAGTGGAGTGGGCCTGGACCTCAAGTGGCAAGGGGAATTGGCCCCAGGCCCAGCGTGGGCAGGGGGGGACCTGGGCCAGCTGCAGCAGCAGGGAAGGAAGGAGTGGGCCTGCACGCACTCCTGCCCTCCCCCTGCTGCCGCAGAGGGGAAAAGGGGAGCGGTCCTGGGGCCCAAGCAGCAGGTGGGAAGACGGGGAGCAGGCCTGGGCCCAGCACAGGGGGGTGGGGGGAGGAGCAGGCCGACTGCAGCAGCAGTGTGGGGAGGGGAGAAGTGGGCCCAGGTGCAATGCAGGGTTGTAGGGGAGGACCAGGCCCAAGCGGGGCTGGAGAAGCCAGCCCACCATGGCGGTGGGAGGAGCAGGAGGCCCGGCCTGACATGGCAGCCATGTGGAGGAAGGGAGGAACAGGCTTCCTCCCCCCTGGGGCCCAGTCTCACTCCTCCCCCACCCCCCTTTCCCTGCATCGGCCCTAAGCCCACTTCTCCTGTCCCGAAAATGCGCCCCCAAACTCTGGGGGGGGGGGAGAGGGGGGGGGGGGGGGGGAGCAGGTCCAGATTGGGTGGGGCTGGACATGGAGCTCTGTCCCCACCCGCTCCCTCCCCCCCGTCATTCTTGATGGGCAGTTGGCTAGTTTTTAGCATTATCCCTCAGTTTTACACTGCATTTGAAATGGTGCTCTCTGATGGCTCTGTACATTCATTCCTAATGACAGGCAGAGATAGATAAGATGATAAATACTGGGTAGCATAGGGGCCAGCTATTATTTTCGCCGGTGGGGGAGGCTTAGATGATGGACATGTGGCAAGTTTTATGCATTTCAAGTGACAGCCCTCTTCCCGAGGGGGGGCCAGGGCTCTTGGGCCCCCACTTACTCAGCCCCTCTGCTGGATAAAATATTTGAGTCCCATCTACTCTTGCACCTAGTGAGAAATGCTATGCAGTTCAAATTGTGGCTGCATGATTTGCAAGCAATCTTTGTAATCTGCACACTGCATTGCAGTTTAATTAGACACTATGCCTGGTGTCTGTCAGGGTAGCCCCCTCAGGCACATCTCTGACACAGTCCATTGTCCCTCTGGAAATAGAACTGGGTAAACAAATGCTAGGCCTGGTTTCATATTATTTGTATTACAAGTGTGCCTACAGACCTCAGTCCCAATGCACCATTATACTAGGCCAGTCATTCTCTCACTGTTTTAGACTCAAAGCACCCCTCATTAGACTCAAGTCATTGCTCAGAAAATACCTGCTCTTACGTCTCTCTAGTTTTTGGACTACAGAAAAATACTGGAGCAATTCTTCTGTTAAAAAGAACTCAGAAAGACAAGTCAGAATGTTTTTGACACTACAGTTTTCTATTTGAAATCTCTGGGTTTATCTTGTGCATCATGTTTCCACACCTAGCAGTGCTAACACTGCATGGCAACCTGTGACAACCTTCAAAGTACCCCAGGTTTTCACAACACCCTGATTGAGAATTACTGGGCTAGATCCTCATGGCTAGGGACAGACATTAAAAAAGCCTGAGCCTGAATTGATTCAATCTTTGCAGGGCAGTCTAACCTGGCTAGGCTAAATCAGTTTTTTAACCAGACAGACATCCCAGAAATGCAGGCACATGCCTGCAGTGGCTCAGGCTAGAAGCTGGGTGGTGCTACAGCAGCCCTCCCTTCACTTCTGCAGGCTGAGGTCAGGGGGGCATGGCCAGGCCCTGGCAGGACACTTTGATTATTCCCCCTCTCCTAAGCAGCCCAGCAGGGAATGTTTATCACCCCTAACTCAGTGTTTATCAACCCATTAAGAAAACAAAGCCTCTCTCCATTAACTAATGGAGCTCCTCTTAAACAGCTCTTCCAAGGAAGGACATTAAGCTACCTGCCAATTAGCTCCAAAAAACCTCTGTCTATCATCTCCCACAGCACGGACCGTAGCGAGCATGTGGTCTGCTAGCTAATGCTGAGGTATCTGTGTAAGACAGAGGGGAGGAGGGAATAATCCCTGTTTAGCAGGGAGAAGCCAGGCAGGTGCTCTGTGCCTGCAAGTCTATGCTGGAGCTCTGGCCAGGGAGCAAAGAAGAGGGGCCACCTCTGCTGTGGAGCAGAGAGCCCTGCCCAGCCCAGAGAGTATGCCAGGATGCTAGGGGTGAACTCAAGTATGCATGAGGATCAGGGCCCAAGTTCTCAGAGATACCCCCACTTCCTTTCATTTTCATCTTTTTCCAAGGTCCTTGTTTACTGGGGACCAGGGCTCACACTGGAACTCACAATATTAGGTCAGCAAGATGGTACATTTCTCTGGCGTCCACTACTCTCATGTGCTCCGAAATCTAAGATTTCCTTTTTAAAAAAAAAAAGGAAGCCCACTGGTTTCTGAAGAAATCCTTCAAAGTATGATTCAGACATAAATTTAGATCTGTATCTGTAGACAGTCTGGTATAACAGATTTCTGAGAATTACAAATTGCCACATCTATCTCATTAGGGTTCTGACTCTGAAACCTAACAATGACTTAAATGCAAGTACTTGAAAAGACTTTAACATGGTTGTGCAAAATAGCTGCTGGATTTGCATCTCACCTGCAAAGACTATAGAAAACTTCAAGTAAGTAGATAGGAGAACGTCTCCCTG